TCCATTATATGTCGAGTTTATAGGCGTTATCCCATTTCTGGTCGAGGGGACATGAGTGATAATATAGTCAAAAATCTCTTAAAATTAGAAATATTGACCCATAGCATTCATATTCTGCTCTCAAGTTAGAAATGGGATTTACCATCAGTAGTCAAAAGAAAATCTTCAGATTCCATTATATGTCAAGTATATAGGCGTTATCCCATTTCTGGTTGAGGGGACATGAGTAATAATATAGTCAAAAATCTCTTAAAATTAGAAATATTGACCAATAGCATTCATATTCTGCTCTCAAGTTAGAAATGGCATTTACTATTAGTAGTCAAAACAAAATCTTAAGATTCCATTATATGTCGAGTTTATAGGCGTTATCCCATTTCTGGTTGAGGGGACATGAGTGATAATATAGTCAAAAATCTCTTAAAATTAGAAATATTGACCCATAGCATTCATATTCTGCTCTCAAGTTAGAAATGGCATTTACTATCAGTAGTCAAAACAAAATCTTAAGATTCCATTATATGTCGAGTTTATAGGCGTTATCCCATTTCTGGTTGAGGGGACATGAGTAATAATATAGTCAAAAATCTCTTAAAATTAGAAATATTGACCCATAGCATTCATATTCTGCTCTCAAGTTAGAAATGGCATTTACTATCAGTGGCCAAAAGAAGAGCCTAAGTCAGAAGGAATGGGTGCATAGTCAGAAAGAAATGCGAACATGAGTGACTTTTAGTGTAAGCATAGAGTTCGTGAGTTACCCGTTGCAACCCTAGTAAATTCACACATTGTCATACAAAGAAATACTAATGTTACAAAATGACATGTCACTGTGGTTCATGTACATCCATTTACTTTTCTTGTAAAGATAATATATGTGGGTGTTGACATCAGTGTGCAAGCACAATCATCACAACACATCCAGCAAGTCAGTCATCCTGTATAACAGTTGCATTTTAATCCTCCCTGTGTGAACCAAGCCATCATTATTCGTCATCCACAGTGATGTGGACACCCCTCCCTGGAACTTGACTGGCATCAAATTCTGTTGATTTACATTCATAGTTGACTTCTTCATAGGGTTTATTCAGCACATCTATCAGAATATGAATTATAGCTTCCTTTACCCCAACATACATCAGGTAATCTGTGGCAGCTCTGAAGTGTGAAAAAACATATGTTTATGTAAAAACAATTGACTAAGCACCGTAGCTCACAAAGACATCAACACATGTAGGCAACAGTTTGAAATATCAACAAAGCCAGTCATCTAACAGGATTTGTTGTAAGCATTGTCATTCATTCATTGTCATAGAACTATTTAAAGAAAACGCAATGAATATATCCAGAAATTGCAGCCTTACTGAAATATTTGGTTAACACATGTGACATCATTGGAACAAGTATGTGATGTTTCAGTGTCATTGTTTATGTGGTTTCTAAGGAGAAGAGAGACATCAGAAAGGGGCTTCGCACATTGTACCCATGTGGGGAATCGAATCCGGGTCTTCAGCTTGATGAGTGAATGCTTAACCAGTAGGCTGCCCTACCACCCCAAAGGAGAAGATGTTTACTCAGATGACAGATAACCAGTCCATGACATTAACTGGGTACAATGACAGGCATAAATATTTGACCATCTCTTACTGACTTTTGTTATTTGAACATGACAGTCACTGGAACTGTGTACCCATGAGCAACATTCTATTCTTTTACCTGTCAGTGCCAATTTACTGTTAAGTGTTGGCTTCCATTTTTTCTTTGGTAATCACCTATCAGCACCAATTATCAGTTGGCTTCCATTGTTAAGTTACCACCTTTGTTATCTTATTACTTTTGTTGTTCTTACAGGTACATACATATACATACGTACGTACATACATACATACATACATACATACATACATACATACATACATACATACATACATACATACATACATACATACATACATACATACATACATACATACATACATACATACATACATACATACATACATACATACATACATACATACATACATGTTCTCTGCCTCATAGCATTCATTCACCTGATGAAGGAGTAAGTGTATACTCTGAAACGTTGTGTTCCTCATAATAAAGAAGTTGACATCCATAAATTCTCTTCCTCATGTGTATTGTTGAAAGACATTATAACATAACATATTATGACAGTTTATGTTCCTTATCAATACCTTAATAAGGTTTTTGGTGAGTAAAAGAAAAATAGCTGATCACCTCCATGGACTATAGGAAGATTGTCTGCCCTGAGAGCAGGAACATTAGGGTTTGATCTCCGGCTGCGTCATACCAAAAGACGTTAAAAGATTGCTAACGCAAATTGTGTAACCTTTAATACAGTTTGCTGACTCCGACCCAACTAGTACTTGTTTTAGCCCCTTATTGTCGAGCACCAGACAGGGTAGGAACAAGTACAACCTTTTATCGTCTTTTGGTATGACGTGGCTGAGGGTCGAACCCACGACCCTCTTCTCTCCAGGTGGATGCTCTATCCACTAGACCACGGTGGCGTAAATCATGTGTTTTTTCAACATAAAGGTATTCTTACATCATGTGCTTTTGCGTTAAAAGTTCCAGCTTCTTTTCAACCTTGCACTTGAACAGTCGCATACTTCCTGAGTATATCCTCCTGTATCAACAAAGAAATCCATCATTTCATCATAGTCAACTGTTGGGTAAGTACCCCATGGGACAGAACATAGGTCCATACCAACATATGCTAATCTAATTTATCTGATGGTCAGGTTCGATGACTTGGTTTATTACATGTCAAGTGGAAGTGTCTATATGTCAGTGTGTTTGGCAGTTAACTGCCTGCATTGTTGCTTATTTGATGGCAATATGGGTCATGTGTAGAGTACTTCATCAGAAATTTACATGACATTCCATGAATGAAAACGAAAGCCAATCCTACAATACATTTTTAGTAAATGCAAATAAATGTAACATTAAGCCAATCATGGTATCTGTCTCATTCCTCTGGTATAACCTCAAAACTTAAATATAATGTATGTTATCAGGAATTATTTGAAACAACCTGTTTCACAAAGTGTCATAAAATATTAATATTTAATACCGTGTATCTTTCAGTCTTGTTAATGTCAAAGCTGATATCAAGTACTGAAGCATTTTTTGCTGCATCTGAAACAATAATAAAAGTATGCAAAATATATAGGGAATACACGTTTTGTTATGTAATGAAGTAAGTAGTTAAGCAAATATAAGCAGATATAGCAACACTAATAACATTTCGTTTTAGTTAAAAGCACAAGTTAATTTGGAACGTGTTTAAGTTGTACTTGTGACAACAGGGTCACCACAATTTCCTCATGACTTACCACCATGCACTTTCAGATAAAAATACTGTGTGTGGGAATAAAAGTGGAAAAAACATTTTCATAAACATAAAAAACAATAATCAACAAATCCCTTTCTATTATCATGTGAAATTTCTGCTTAAAGGGAAGTCTTTTTTACGAGTTTCACCATATCACAAGCATGTTTTTATGAACAACTGTCAATACAGGGTGTTCAAAGAAAGGTGAGGGTGTCATTTCCCACTTATGACACCAATCACAAACACATGCAAAGGCAAGACTCGTGACACCTAAATAAATATGGGAACATATGGTACAAGTCAAAAAAAGGAATTGCATGGGACATCATTTTGGTCATTAATGCATTAAAGTTGGAAATGGCTTCCACATGTCTACCATGAAATGTTTTGAAAGCTTGCTGAGGCCTTGAATATTGTAGCCTTGATCAAACATGTTTGAAGCAAGAGTTGTATGGCACTCTTTGAAAAACTTTGTAGAAAGAGCACGCTCAATTGTACCTTAAAAGGCTGTAGCTGTTTGAAAATTGTCAGACATAAAAGCATAGTTGAGTACTAGAAAGTTGACGTCATCCTATTTGTTCTAGTCTTGTGTATACTTTACTGTCACTCTGAATCTTTATGCATAGACCAAAATATAAAACAGATGTACTAGTCTCTTTTATTTCCAGTTCAGTGGAAGGGAATGGCTACTTACATTATTGAACAATTTCAGATCATTGATATACAGGAATCTAAAGTCAAAATTCTTGACTGAATTCCTGTGTTTTTTATTTTGCCAATCCGAGCAGAAGTTCTGATTCATATGCATAAAGAAACAGATGGGCAAGGACCTGAGCACATGGCTACTACAGGAACAGATCCAACAAGAAGGTCCAATTCCAATTAACCTAGTAATTGCATGAACTAAATTATCTAAATAAAAATGGTACAGACGTTACTAGAAGTCAGACAAAACATATACTTAATGCAGTATGCAGTATGACTTCCATGCTCTCACACTGGTTGATTACTTCCTTCTATGTCTACAGTGTTATTCATAGGAAAACAATTCTTATTATGCCACAGTTTCCAAACCTGAATGTACTAAAGTACCTATAATGAATTATTCACTCTTAAAACTATCTGACAGGTTATCTCAATGCATTGTCATAGTATCTTCTTACCTACATGAAATTTCATGTTATTGTAGTTTACCAAGTCTCATTTGGTGATGGAAGTAGTAATGCTTTCTCAGTGGGTGTAACCAAAAACCTTCAGGTGGGTATTTGTTCAATAATCTGTGCACTGTTCTCAACAGAATACAATGACAGATTGAACCCATTTTTATATATCAAAAGAATGGACAGCTTGACTGATATTCCTTTGAAATTGAGGTGGTATCGATTGTAGGAATCAATAAGCTGCCAGAATATATATACATGAGAATATCCCCGAAGACAACATTAGCTCTCCTATTCCACCAGATCCTATAAGGAGTCCCAAATGACAGGGCTGTAAGTTATCATGTACACAATCCTTAAAGCATGGTCTTGCATTGAAGCTCACAAATTTTCATGTAACGTTTTCATGAGCAATGATTGGGAGGATGTTTGTTAAAAATAATATATGAGGCAACTGTCACATTTGAGAAGGTACATACATATTGAGACAGATATCCCTCTGCAAAATTGACTCTTCGGTCTGGTGTTGGGAAGCCGCTGACAAACTCATCATGCCTTTGAAGTTGTTCCTCACTGAAAAACATATCTAAAATGAGTGTTTGTTGTTCAGTGCCCCACTCAGCAATATCAATACTATATTGTGTCTCAACAAGACCAAATAGTGTTTTGATATTATGAGCAAAGTTATCACAGTCATAATGTATGATGTCATAAATTCATCCAGGGTCACAGAGATTTACCACCTGATCCATTGAGTCTCTGGTGTGACAAGCATAGGTTGCTAGGGACTAGTTCTAACACAGTATCCATTAAGTCTCCTGGTGTGACAAGCATAGGTTGCTAGGGACTAGTTCTAACACAGTATCCATTAAGTCTCCTGGTGTGACAAGCATAGGTTGCTAGGGACTAGTTCTAACACAGTATCCATTCAGGACTTCAATTAGTGCTTCGTGTTTTATTGGTACTTCAATAATTCATTGTTTTAGCTTGTTTCGTTTTGGTAAAACCCACAAACACAGGTTAGGAGTAAATCAAACACTATGAGAAGCAACTGGAATAAAAACCCAGTTATTACTATATCTGGATTGAAAGTCATTCCAAGTTATCTGCCAACAAAACTCACGGTGCATCTCTTGCAGCAATTCTCTGCAGGTGTGCCACTACATTTTCTTTCTGTATAAATTTTAGTAAAGAGAAACATCATTAACACAAGTTTAAGAAAACATCTTACTGAGAGTGAATAATACCTTCTTATCAGGTATCTAATGGCAGCAACTGACATGTGCCTCTTACAATTGTTAAGCTAAACTTTCAAATAATGTATTGTGAAATATGAAGGCACCATGGCAAAAACATTTATGAAGGTAATACAAGAGTACTGTTTACTCAGATATAATTTTTAGAATTTTTTTTATTAAAACAAAAGTACATCTGAAATCATCTTTGGTTAATATTTCATACTGAAAACATTAATGGATTTATCATTAAGCAACTGACACAATAATAAGGAAATGTCTTGTTGCAGGTGTTGCATTGGGTTTGGACATGCCTTGTGTTCCCATACAGCAGTGTTGATTGGATACTTGGAATCTGAATCTGATTCATCTTCTGTGTCCATTTTGGTGTCATTAGCTGCTTCCATCTCTTTCTCTTAAAATGAAACATGATTGTATGTGAAATGTGGAACCAGTATGCGTAATCCTTGTACAAGTAACAAGCATGTGAATGAACACAAGAATGTTTTTTCTGTGTATGATAAGTATGAAATGGTTAATGTCAGAAGTATACTTATATTAGCTCTCTATCCTTAATTTCCAATGAGTCTGTGAATATATGAAATGTTCAGTACCAATATAGTAATATACTGATATCTCTGTGGTCAGAGATGTCATAAATTTATATCTGATAATAGGTACATGCCACGGTCTCAATGTGACGATCCAAGTGTAATTTAGTTCTTAACTTAAAGAACATGCACATGCTGGCACTTGCACAATGCTAGGCATTATTGGGCTTTGTTTCAGCGTGAAGAGTCAACTGTTTTGAGTAATATGTAATGTTATAGGTATATATCGCAAAAACCTACAAAAGTTCTGAATGCTTTGACATGGTGACCTGCCATAATTATTTTAACTGTACCATCAATAAAGGACAAACCTCCTTCTGTGGACATTGGTATGAGTGTCACATAATGCAGCTCCCACAAGTGGCCTATGCTTAGTACTGGCATGTCTCCTCGGTATTCAGCTGGACGAATGAATGTAGGCTCATTTGCAATTGTTGTAATGATCCTGATGGTCACCTTATAGAGGTCAGCTGTTGCCTGCAGAATGATGTTGTCTCCCCATTCCCCCAACATCTTCATCTTGATGATATAGTCTCTGAATGTTGGATAATGGTTTTTATCCACGAAGTCCTTGAACAGACGCCGCTTGCCCTAAAACATGTTCAGTTAGTGTGAGACTGAGAAATGTTACTGTTCTTCTTTCTTCTTATACTACATGTAATACACATAAAATGAAAAAAAACAACAACAAAAAAACATGACTCAATGTTGTGTTGTATAGTCATCTAAGTTCAAAGCTAAAATGGTACAAAATCTCTACAAGTGACAAACCTCACATTGTCAGAAGATACCATTTTGCATGACCCCCATGGGGAAGTACTGGTACTTGCATCTTTATGTTAAATGCAACATGCATAGATAATGAATTGAAATTGTGCAATTCATCAGGTTCCATGAATTTGTTCAAGTGTTTTTATGTTTGCCCAAAATTGGAAAAAGTGAAAATTCAAGATGAGCTAATGAAAAAACAGTTTTCACTGGCTTGCTGTATAAGTGCATTTACCTTAAATGCAAAGTTTAGTCCCATTTCACCTCATCCCAATCTATATGCCTTTCAAAATTTACTTGAACCTATTTATTGGGGTAAACATAAAGTATCAGAAATTATTCATACAGCCCAACTGAATATAAAGTCAGTGGTTTATACTGTAACCTAAAAGAGCCACTTTGCATAATAATTTTCGACTTGCTCATTTAGAAATGTGTATACAGCCTTTCTGTACAAAATTTCAGCCATCACATTTTTTAAATGCCTTTTAAGGTCCTGATAACACTTTATGAGGTCAAAAGTAAAACAAATATTATAATGTAATATAAATGAGCTGCGGAAGTATGAAACCTATTAGAACTGTACATGTACATATGTGGCAGATAAAAGTGAATATTCAGCTTATTTTACACACCTTATCTGACAACTGTCATGCAATTTTGAAACTTAAATTCTCAATATTAAGAGGTGTCTCATAATATATCCAAAACATTTGAAAGTAATATACCCTACTAAACAGGCTGACCTGAGGGATGTTTCCTTCATTGGGACAACCATTCGTTTATCTTGTTTTAAATAAAGAAGTTTAATCAATGTCAAGGGCATCACCAATAGAGCCCCATGACTCTCTAGCTCACATAACGTAAGAGGAATTAATGAAAATATATTTGATGGAAAGGTTGAGAGCAAATTGTCATTGACATATTTAACATAAGATCCAAAATATGTGAGTACTTTTCAGAGACAATAATAATTAATACTATTCAGGCAAACCTTTGCTTCATAAGCTTTGAGGTTTCGTCCTGTAAGCCAAAATTTCAGTAACACAAAAAAAGATATGTGGAATTCATTACTGGATAAAAATTGAAATTCACCAAATCAAATGTACTGCCGTTATTGTAAAAAACATTCTTACTGCATATCAATGTTCATAATGATAACAAATATAAACTTTTTAAATCCATTGAGGTGTAATAATCTGAACAAACTTGCATGCCAAATTTTCAGCTGGTCCACTGATTCTTAGAATAACATGATTCCAAACAAATAGGACATGGCTTCAGCCCAATTAGGCTTTCACATTTTATTCACTATATCAAATTCCTACCCTAAGAAAATTGAAAGTATGCATTATTGTTTACTTACCTGCACATATTGCACAACCTTTTCTCGCAGATGTTTATGGCTGATTATGTCAATGTCATGTATTTGAAGCTGTTGAGCCAATGCAATAAACATGCAGTTACCAGCCCCTTCATTGTCCACAATGTCAAGGTCATAGAATGAGGCCTCCATCTCCAGTTCTTTCATAGTTGGTGTCTTCTTGCGTCCTGCATAGACACATTATATAAGTAACACAAATTGACCTGTAATATATCTCTTAGTATATTGTTTTTATGGAAACAACTGTAATGTTCTGCAATACATGTACTGATGTAGTATTTTTCAGCTGAGACAATGAACCATTTCAGATGTGCATGATATACAGGAAGACATATGAGTAACTGACACAACATCATATGGAGAATTTGTGTACTCCTTCCAACAGATATAATAATGCATCTAGGATTGATCAGTCTTGTTGATCGTACCCATCTGTATTCAGATATTACCTTTTGTTTCTGCATTGTCTCTCCTCTTGGTTTGAGCCTGTTGTTCTCCCTTTCCTTAAAAGTACAAACATACATCACCAAGTGCAAGCATACATCACCAAGTGCAAGCATATACCTTCAGGATAAAGTAATGCTTTACATTCATTTTTTTTTTAAAACATTTATTCCGTTGAAGTGTTCAATATGTGTAAATGTACTCTGAAAGGTGGAAAATTTGTACAAGTATTGATTACCCTTCTTATTGTGCATGCATGCATGCAAGTATTCATGCATATGCCTAATGTTTTGGAGACTAACCGTTCCAGAAGATTCCTATGAGGTGTCTCAAATTGTAATACCTTTTTCATCCTGTGTTTTTCCCCTTTTGAGTGGCTTTCTACCCTCTTCTCTTGCATCTGGCCGAGCATCTGTTAGAAAAATATATGAAAATTATCACATTTATGCCTTCTTCTGCACATACCAACATATCACAGAGCAACCAATTTAACTGGTTAAGGAACTGAACTGAACTGAAAATCATCAAATGCTTCAACCATTGACTGCAGTTTGATTCCAGACCCTTGATCAGTTGTGTTTTGTATACCACCTAACCTCCTGTGTCAATGTTAGCTTTCGTTCCAAGAAGACAAACCAATGAATGTCCCTTGTAAGTAATGTATAATATCACAGGAAGTATCATATACTACATTAATCCTAAGATTTTAGTACAAATGACATAACAATTAATGACTACACCAAATTATTTCAATACCTTGCAAAGTCGTGAATTAGTAATGGCATGTAATTACATTTGCTATGATCCATATAATACTTTCAAAATTCTGAACCATAAAAAACATTAATTAATGTATGTTCCTGATTTTAAATATGATGTTGTTCCTTCTCTTTTAATTAACACTGCAGTATTAGCAACATCCACACTGTCTGGGTACCATGTCATAGAATAAACCAAGTTACCCGATCACCTGGTCAAATTAGTCACCTCAAGCATGTATTGCTGGAGACCTTTTTCAACCTGCAGTAGCAACATGAGTTGTATCATCTTTGATAACTGTTCTAATTAGCTGTCCAACTTGGTATTTTCTTAGAAATGCAAAATATAAAAGTCTACCAAAGAAACTGAATAGCAGAATAACAGAACCTGCCTGATGTTGTATAAAGTTTCATGAAGAAATACGCAATGGTTTATGAATTGTGCTCTGGAAACAAACCCCACCCTCATTTGAACCAACTTGTTGCCATGAAAATGCAAATAAAATATTATAAACATTCCAGCATGGGAAAAGGCACCAATTGTGAGGGTCCATGAGGAAATATTGAATGCTCTTGATACAAAATGTGACAGATGGACACACTGATCTCGTTTCTGTATCTCCAACTGCACTTACTCTGGGTGGAGGAAATGATAAAAACAGCAAATACATTACAAACATCATGTCTTTACAGTCCACCAAGATAGATGATGTCATCTATTCTGTAAGAACTATTTTATTTAAAATACATTATTAAACATACTTGCTAATTACATAATATTCATAAACTACTACTGGAAATATGTACCTTCATATGTCCTCATTCTTCTCCTCTTCTCTTCTTTTCTTGTCCGAGAAGTAATGTCACACACCTGCTCCCACTGCACATGCTTGTTCGGATAGGCAACCTTGAATTGGGAGTTCTGGGAATCTATTTCGACAATAGTTCCTTCCTTGCATTTTTTCATCCCTTTTTTGGGCCCACCTCGTTTGACTCTGGTATCTTTTCCATGAACCCTCACCAGAACTTCATCCCCTATCTTGTACACTGATGTGTCCTTGTTTTCGTGGTGTTTTTTAATCATTTCTGATGATTTGGTCAGTGACGCCTGCAGCACATTTTTCCTGAGGTTTGTGATTGCTTCTATTCTCTCATTAATGCCATATTCGTCTCCAGTATCCTAAAGAATAATAAAGTATTACATTTACCATGTTTTTATATCCACATATCTAACATAAACGTCAAATAATATCACTTCCACTTCACATGTAGTTTTACCTCATATTCTAAACATATCATTACTTCTAATATCTTGCAATTGAAATAGTTCTATGTACATGTCTCTACTTGTCACATCTCCTGTCATTATTGCACAGGTTTACTGGACCCGATGACAGTTATTATCCCCTGCACCTACAAATTTGTCTTTTTATTTTGTACAAAGTTTTGAAATTTTGACTTAGTCTCTGAACTGAATGGAAGCAGTGGGGTTTACCAGAGCAGAACCCGAAAACTGTTCAAGATATCTTCATGAAACTTTGTACAATATCAGTCTATGGCTATTATAGAGTCTTTTTTCTTTAAAAAACTTCAAAATATGATTTATTTTCCTTTTCTAATTAAATGACACACCAGTAGACACTGCAACAAAATCCATAAAAGCATTAATTGTAGATGTATTAGAAATTCACCAGGTTTTGAGGTGTCAGCATGATTACAACTTTTGTACCTTATCTGTACCGTGTACCTTACTCTGGTAACTACATGTACCTATAAAGGGCTGCAACAATACCTGCCTGAAAACAATGCTCTACAATACCAGGCATGATATCTAAATATTCTTAGCTTACACAAACTTGAAGATGATTATAACCTTTGTTTATCATTAAAGTTTTACTAAAGCAGAAGTACAAAGTTTATGGAGATGTTATATTAGCTCTTGTATTCAACCTCTTCTACAAGGAGGTGAGACAAACTGATAATTTACAATGTCACATTTGATTGCCCATATCATTGTATTTAAAACTAGACAATGGGCGGGGTATATAGATGAGTTTGTCTCTTGTTATGCGTAATGACATAAATCCTCCATACCTCATCACTCTCTGCAGATAGTTCGCACTGCTCATCTTCTTCAGAGCAAGAGTACGCATCAACTGTATTTCCAGCTCTCAACAAATTCTTGAAGTGTACTGGAGGGCAGCCCAGCATGGCCTTGTATGGTGAACAACCTGTTAACATAGGAATTATGTTTAAATACAAGCCTGTGTTTCTCATGTCTTCTTCAACAATAAATGTCACAACTGCACTGTGGCAATATTGATATTTCCAGAGTTCTATAAATTTGCAGTAGCCTGAAGGGTGCATGCAACTATATTTTGGTCAATACCTGGTCAACTATGAAACTGTTGTACCTTCTGTTATGAGCCATCATCATTTAACTGTGTCATAATGGTTATTTGTTGGTCAGTGCGTAAAATAAATTCAATGTCACACATCCACATTTACCATGCTTACAGTCTGAAAAGTATATGCTTACACTTTGTGACATATGCCCACATTAAATTAAAGCTATATATTCAAACTTTACCAAGTGCAGAATGAATGCTTTCATTGTGTATTCTAGCATATGCTGGCAACTTTTCCACCCAGTTGAAGTTTTCTCCATCACCATGTTTGCTGTGATCAAATTCCAGATGGCTTTTCCAATCCCGGTGTGATCGTTCACTCTGAAATAAATTAACGTCTAAATAGTAAACAGATTAGGCAGGCACAAAAAGTGTGCACAAGTGTTATACCATGTATATGAAATATATGAAATATATGAAATATATAACAAAAACAGTTTCCATAATCATAAGAAGCCTTTTCTAAAAGCTGGGTCCACTTAATGATTCCATCAATATCATAAGCATGTGTTATGAATCAACATAAAATAGTGATAGTAGCAGGTGTTCACGAAGGTTAGTGTATCCTGCCCCACCGGTGTCATCTGTCACACACATGCAAGTGTGGCTCTGCCCTAAAGATGACATGTTCCAAATAACATCAACATTAATGTTCTTACTATTAAGTATCTACATCTATTACCTCAACATTTATAGTGTGCATGTTTTGATTGAAATTTGTCACCCACCTTTCCCTGAGATTGTGGATGGTGAGCCCGACTTCGGACAATCTTCGTTCCCATTTCTATGCAGAGTTGGTTGACTGCTCCCTTAAACTCGGAGCCTTGATCGCACTGTAAGATTCTTGGATTTCCCCATCCATACTCAAAGTAGATTTTGTGGAGTTCCAATGCCACTGAACAGGCTCTTTTGTTGGAAAGAGGCCGAAGCCACAAGAATCTTGTGAAAACATCAATAACAGACAAGATGTAAATGAATGTTTCACCATCATTTTCTGCAGGCATTCCAGTTAGTTCCACAAGGTCAACCTGATGTCGCCCCATTGGTGTTCTTGAAATAACCGGTTTTAGTTTGGCAGCATTAACAAATTTAGGATGTAACAGTTGCCTGTCATCTTGCCTGTCTATAAAGTCTTGTATGGCTTCCTGAGAAATGCCAGCATAATACTGGTTTATCAATGTTCTTATTTTCTTTGCTCCAGAACCCCGCAACTCAGTGTAAAATTTGCAGATGACATTATCAAGTTCTGACTTTGATATCACTATTTTCCTGTCCCCATCAATAATCTCCAATCTATATTCTCCTTGGACAGGGTTGTGAATTTCTGTCAAAGATAAATTGAACTTCTGTATTTTCTGGCAGACATGGTAAAACTTGACAGTCTTGCTATCCTTGGGAATGTCACCTCCTTCAAGTTTTAATCTAAGGCAGTCGTAATTCTCCTTTGAAATCACACCAATACTTCTTTTTCTTGAACATTTTACCTGAAATGCATTAAAAGCAAACCTATTACATCATGTTCAACTGTATGTCATACATGATGTCCATAATCATATTTACCAGGCTTTTCTTTCATATTACTAAATTTATTGACTATGTGCATTAGTCATCCTACAAAAACACATTACCAAAGATACAGAAACTCACCCTCATTGGGCAATGTACATGTCACATGTTAGGCTGAGCCAGAGAAGAGAAATAGTACATGATTTGTTCAAAACACATACTGTAATTCCCAATAAGTACTCGAGTGTTCATTGAAATTTTGTGATAACGTTCTTCAACATGTCCTCATATTTGGTTGCTGATGCTGACAAAAGAATGATGACTAACAATCTATTTTCCACAATCATATTTCTAGGATTCAAGGAAAATTCAAATAAACAGACACTCAGAACTATTTCTTTCTTATTGATTGTGAATGTGGTACATGGTGCTAGTCTTAAAATAAACTGCATATAGAGTAACTGTTTTCATAATGAATGCCATATCAGCCTTTCAAATCACAAGATTCACTGAAATGTGTTCATATTGTAATATATATGGTAAATAAAGACAATCAGGCAATGTAAACACGTAACCCTTAATTCTATGCATTATTTCAGTTTTTCAGAATACCAGGTTATCCTAATGATTGTAAAGAAAGAAAGGAAAACCTTCCCATAATCACATCTTGGAAAAGAACTTTTCAAAATGTTTACTACTTGCAGAAATGGCCCCTATTTTAGTGTCAAGTATTCATACTTAAAACACTAGATTACGGTATACAGAACTGTATAGAATGTCATGCTCACTATAAAAAGTACACATCATAGGCTCATGGTAATGGGAAAATCATAAAAATTAACAAGTTATTTAGCATAGGTTGTAGAAGTAGAAGGACCCTCAATATACAAGAACAGATTGTCATGTAGGGAAATGTCTGAGTAGGGAAATGTCAGTGTTGGGAACTGTCTGTGTGGGGAAATGTCCATGTGGTTTGTAGCTAATTACATGCAGAATGTGTTATATAGATCAGTAGCAGACACACAGCCTAACCCCAGGGTGAGCTAATGATTATCTTCTAAGATTCCTCTTTAGTTTGTGTCTTTATTTGGGTATACATACTCACAGTATGGTATAATGGACAGATTGTCACACCATGAAGTTATCACCACATCATACAAAGGCTAAGCAATATTACTTCAGAAAAATAGATGAACATGAGATGTATGAGTACCTGTTCTGTTCTAATGATTATTGAACAAACTAATTATACCATTCTTAACAAACATATCAAGATGTCATCATGACACAATAGTTCAGCTATTGCCGAATTTTAAATATTGCTGTGTACGAAGTAGTTACATGAAACAATTAAGTTATCACTTTTCTTCAGACTAAGAAATAAAGGCCTGGTTCCACCATGCACTTTGCATTACTTGTTTTAGTTACAATGCATGTCAGTTCTAATAATATTGAACTTACAAACTGGTGGGAACTGAAGTAAATGATGTACTGACAGTAATCATTACAAGGCCTTACAAAATGGAAAGGAATATATTTTATTCTGGACCTACAAATCCTATCTTACAATAATGACCAAAACATTAGATATCTAATGTAAGTAGAACTTGTAAACATAAGTACCTAATCAAATTAACTTTGATCTAAACAAAGAGTTAAAAAAAGTAACATATACATATCATTGTATGAATTCATAGTGTTGGTACTTACTCTTGCCATTGGTTGGGATGTACTGGACTCTGTCTGTTTCCTCAAATCATCTGACATTCTGACAGATATTCAGGAATCTCATCTGCAAACAAATGATACTACATGAAACTAGTTTTCCTAAATTGTTGACAATTGTTGAATATGTGTGCTTTGTGTTTTTTGCCCAGACCCAGGGAGAACATTTGTAATGTGATCGCCATTTATCAGTTGCTGGGGTCCCCATCCTGCCATAGTCTCTGGCAGTACCTCTCTTCAGTGTGGACATATCAGTATGAAGTATACAAGTCTTATGAATATTGGTTTTTACAATCTGCCAGCTCTCTGTGTTAATGAGATCAAAAGCATGTTGTGTATTGAATGAAAGAACACATTGCCCCCATTGCACCATACAAACATAAAGGGGTCGAAATATACAGGTATCTGTGTGAGAAGGAGGTAGAGGACCTTAATTATCAACCTTAGGTATGGGTAATTTATAATGGGATTGAGGTTAGGACCATATTTAGATGAGCCCCCCCCACCCCACCCCCCACCCACCACCACCCCCCGCACACTTTATGTGCATTTATTATGTCCCCAATATATACAGATTGCATTTTCAGTCTTATGAATATTTGTTTTTAAAAACTGTTCATTTATAAATAGCAAACACTCTGTTCAGTAAACTTAATACAATCTTGATGTACCAAGATAAGTTATATCAAACTAGAAATGATGCAGTTGTTTAATTTACCCCTGCTATCCATTATTATATAACTATGTGTGACTACATATTGACTGTTAGTGTAATACTGACTCTTATGACATAATGACATGCATAAAATATATAAACTGTTTAGTGAGCAAGGTTAAGAATTTTTGGATGAACAACTTTTTTCTTACAATTAAGAGCGACGTTTCAGTGTAGGTTCTAACACCGTTATCAATCAAATAATATCACTTGCTGGATACAGCAATAAAAAGTAAAGAACCCCTTAATCCACAGATCATATCGAAAAGAAATTTGGACTAGTATTTGAACAGTTTCATTTTCATTACTAATTTTTTACAATAAAAGACAATTATTTCTCTACATAATGTGACCCCCTAAATTGTTCTACAAATCCTTCAAATAGAAACAATTTGAAACATTGGAAAATATGATACTTTCATATTTTTGTAACAAATGAAGAATACAGGTCCAAATTGCGAAACCGCATTTTACTTCTATCCCATGAACATGGTGCTGCAAATACTCAGGTTTGGAGGTCTTCTCTTTAAGACTTTCAAAATATGTATTATTACCAAAACAAGAATTATTTGATATGAGGAAGTATCATACATGGCAATTATCACTGCTAATTACCAGAGATATGTCAATCATTAAAGATATGCTGAAACGTTTGTGCCTAAAGCAATGATATTACTAACCTGCAATGTTTAACTGTCATCAGGACAGATAATTGTAGCGCCAATCCAACAGAGAAATATAACAAGGAGATACGATTCAATGTTACACACATGGATTGTTGATACAGACTAGTACCTGGCACAGTTGAAAAGTCATTCACATTCCATAAACAACCACATACAACAATCTTATATTCTTAGCTGCTAACTTCAGGAAGCGATGGTCATTGGCCTTTTCAATGAAACAAGTGTTTTCATTGGCTAATTCATCATGATTGACAGAAACGAGGAATGAACAGTACCAGATCAGTGACCATAAACCATGGTCCTGAGGATTGCATAATATTGCATCCTACATACACCAACATGCCAGCTCTCTGTATTAATTAGATCAAAAGCATGTTGTGTATTGAACGAAAGAACACATTGCCCCCATGTGAGAGCACCATGCAAACATAAAGGGGTGGAAATATACAGGTATCTGTGTGAGAAGGAGGTAGAGGACCTTAATTATCAACCTGGTTAGGACCATATTTAGATGAGACCCTCCCCCCCCCCACCCCCCACCCCCCACCCCCCAACCACACACACACACACATTTTATGTGCATTTATTTTGTCCCCAATATATACAGATTGCATTTTCATGGACATTTATAACATATAACAAATGAAATATTTAACCTTTTTATTCAAAATAATACAGAACCATGTCATTTATGTTGTACGTACCCACTCCCCCAAATATACTTGTGATAAATTTTGGTGACCCCCTACATGTTGTCATTAAAACACCCCTCCCCAACCCCATCCTTTATTTGCTGTGTAATTTCTTCATGATCACCCCCCCAATAAATATATAAATTACCAGTCCTTATGATATTCTACAATATTCTGCAATGACATGCAAGATATAAAGTCGTGTTTTTAATCACATTTTTAAATCTAAATATATTTGAACCAAGTCTGTCAGGATTTGACAAAATTGGTAAATAGTGAAAAGGAAGTAACTTTTTCATGTGTCATATTCACAAATGCATTTATAATGGCATTTATTTATTTTTCAAATTTAAAGTTTATTTCTATTTCTACATTTACCCTGTAGTTTTGAATATAAGAATTTAGAGAAACCACACGAAATAAGGCATAATATATTCATGTAAAGATAAAAAGATACTTTCCACAATAATTAACATGAAAAAGTTATTTCATAATTTCTAGTTCTGAGTGAGTAATTAGCATGTAATGTTATACTTAATGTTAACTGCCTCACAATTAAGTTCTCTACTAGGAAGTTATTCTTGGTGCAGACACTTAGCATACTACTACACAATGTGTTTTCACCCAATACTGACAGAACATAATAGCACAGGAAACAGGTATTCCAGGTTGGGTATCAAGCAGTCTATGCTGGTCATGTAACTTTATTTCTGTAACTTTCTTTCCTGTAACATTTCTTCCTACAATCAGGGTAAGATCTAATAATACCTCCACTGACAAATTACAGGTTATGATAGGGTGGGGGGTGTACATGAAGTACGAAATCAGACTACCAGTTGTTGGACTTTCATTTTGTGGAAGACTCAGTGGGTTAGATCGCTGACTCTGTGCTTGCGATAAGGTGGCTCACTCTGGGTGTAATACTCTGCAAAAAATATCACCAGACTACATGCATAAAAGATGTACATGCACAATTAATAAAAAAATCAATCTGTCGGAGAAATTGGGACAAAGAAACATCATACACAAGAGAATTGAACCCCCCTCTATCTAAACCAGTGGATGGATTGTAAAAGAGTAGGGGATCCATTCTAATATGTGGTTGATGTCATCCTCTGCTACACTGCCAACTTTGATATTAATAGAGCCAAGGTTCAACCACGCAGATAAAGCAAATGGAGCATGTCTTTCAGATATAAAGGTTGCTCTATCCTCATATATAGTTTAATAAAGTATAGTTTAACCTGAACCATTATAAGGCACAAGGACAATTGCGTTTAATATCCATTCAGTCTGCAGTAAATCCATAATCAAACAAAGAAATAACTAACATTAAAACTTTTAGTTTTAATATTAATTTCCTTCAATTTAATTACATCACATGGAGAACTAAACATAGACATGTACAATGACTGTCCAGCTTGATGCTGCCCATTTTTTCTGAAATGGGAGAGAGAGTGAATGAAATTGTTCAGCCAAGATGGGGTTTTGCATGGTCAAAGGGATCAGGAGGGGCCTATGCAACAGCCCATGACTGCCTGGGGGGTCCAGGGAGGGGCCACCCCATCATTGTAGACTTAAGACTTTCAGCAGGTTTAAGGGCTCCTATAGCTGCCCTTAAACCTGCTGAAAGTCTTAAGTCTACACAAGCTCTTTAAAAAAAGACAGAGAGAAAAAGAATTTTGATTTGATTTTTGACCAGTTTCCTAGGGTGCCTTGGGCTGTTTGAAGCTCACCTGGCAAGCTGGAAGAACCTCTGAGGTGCACACTGGCTGTTGTCTTGACGCGTCGAGGAAGCCGCCCATTTTTTCTGAAATGGGAGAGAGAGTGAATGAAATTGTTCAGCCAAGATGGGGTTTTGCATGGTCAAAGGGATCAGGAGGGGCCTATGCAACAGCCCATGACTGCCTGGGGGGTCCAGGGAGGGGCCACCCCATCATTGTAGACTTAAGACTTTCAGCAGGTTTAAGGGCTCCTATAGCTGCCCTTAAACCTGCTGAAAGTCTTAAGTCTACACAAGCTCTTTAAAAAAAGACAGAGAGAAAAAGAATTTTGATTTGATTTTTGACCAGTTTCCTAGGGTGCCTTGGGCTGTTTAAAGCTCACCTGGCAAGCTGGAAGAACCTCTGAGGTGTACACTGGCTGTTGTCTTGACGCGTCGAGGAAGCCGCCCATTTTTTCTGAAATGGGAGAGAGAGTGAATGAAATTGTTCAGCCAAGATGGGGTTTTGCATGGTCAAAGGGATCAGGAGGGGCCTATGCAACAGCCCATGACTGCCTGGGGGGTCCAGGGAGGGGCCACCCCATCATTGTAGACTTAAGACTTTCAGCAGGTTTAAGGGCTCCTATAGCTGCCCTTAAACCTGCTGAAAGTCTTAAGTCTACACAAGCTCTTTAAAAAAAGACAGAGAGAAAAAGAATTTTGATTTGATTTTTGACCAGTTTCCTAGGGTGCCTTGGGCTGTTTGAAGCTCACCTGGCAAGCTGGAAGAACCTCTGAGGTGCACACTGGCTGTTGTCTTGACGCGTCGAGGAAGCCGCCCATTTTTTCTGAAATGGGAGAGAGAGTGAATGAAATTGTTCAGCCAAGATGGGGTTTTGCATGGTCAAAGGGATCAGGAGGGGCCTATGCAACAGCCCATGACTGCCTGGGGGGTCCAGGGAGGGGCCACCCCATCATTGTAGACTTAAGACTTTCAGCAGGTTTAAGGGCTCCTATAGCTGCCCTTAAACCTGCTGAAAGTCTTAAGTCTACACAAGCTCTTTAAAAAAAGACAGAGAGAAAAAGAATTTTGATTTGATTTTTGACCAGTTTCCTAGGGTGCCTTGGGCTGTTTGAAGCTCACCTGGCAAGCTGGAAGAACCTCTGAGGTGCACACTGGCTGTTGTCTTGACGCGTCGAGGAAGCCGCCCATTTTTTCTGAAATGGGAGAGAGAGTGAATGAAATTGTTCAGCCAAGATGGGGTTTTGCATGGTCAAAGGGATCAGGAGGGGCCTATGCAACAGC